CAAGACTCACAATTTAAAGTAGAAAGAGACGATAAATGGGGAACCATCTTCTGAAGCTTTGCAAGGCTAGGATGGCCCAGACGAGCATGGATAGTAAGAGGAGAATCCATAGTAGAGCAGGCTGAAAAAGAGGGAACTAGTTGATAGAGGCCCTGAGACTCACATCCTTTGGTAATCTCCTTCCCCGAACTCCGATCCTGAAAGATGACAGAGGTTTTAGTAAAAGAAACAACACAGTAAATGGACTTGGTCAACCGACTAATAGAAAGTAAGTTAAAAGGAGAATCAGGAACATATAGAACATGATCCAGAGATAAATTAGGTAAAAGAAGAACCATGTCAATCTCCCTTGATTGGGCCAGAGACCCATTGGCCATAGTAATAGTGGGAAAAGAACCAGTAGTACAAAGGGAAGTGAATAAGGGCTTATTACCAGAAATGTGATCAGAAGCCCAGAATCTAGAGTCCAAGGGCCAATAGAGTGCAACTGAGATATGTCAGCAAAAGAATTACCAGAATTACCAGTGGGAGCAATGGATGCAGTAGGACCTGATGTTTGCTTCTCAGACCACCAAGTCACAAAAGCTTTTGCCTGACTCCAAATAGCTTCACAGGTAACAGCAGGTCGAAAAATCTGCTTGATAGACGGATGAAGAGTAGCTTTAATGAGACTACACAACTGAGCATCAATCATCTTCCATCATGTGCGCTCATTTTCCGCCACAGATTCAACCTTAGTGGTGAGATGGGATGTATAATTCTGCCCATCCAACCAGAGTCGCAGATCGGAAGACTAAGTATCATAATTGGACCCATCCAATTTATCCACACTCAACGGAGCAAGGATATAATTTGAGAAAATAGTAGACTCCGACTTTTGTCCCACCGTAGTCCCAGAAACAGAAACATTGGAGACAGGAGTGTCCATAATCAAAGGAAAAAGGCAGAAAGAACAGGTCAAAAACTAACCCGCAGAAGAGGGATCTGTGCGTCAACACAAAAAGAGGTCCAAACACCAAAACAAGACCAGATCCAGAACCTACGCAAAGAGACGAAAAGATCACAACTAGTCGCGGCCGGAGAGGGGCCTCCACGCGCCGCCGGAGTGAAGGAGAGTGGCCGAGAGTGGCCAAGCTGTCGCGCGCGCATGAGGGCGCGTGTGACCTTGAAATTGGACGAGACCGGTGGCGTTGGAACCGCGCGGCGGTATGTAGATCGCTGGAAAAGGTGACCGGACAGTGGTTCTGGACGAGACAGAAGCTGTATGCGGAGAGAGAAGCGTCCGAAAAGTGACAAGGAGACAGCTCCGGAAAAAAATTAACCGACGATGAACAATGGGTTCACCGGAAATGATTTTTTTTCAAAGTTCCTTAGGCTCTTGATACCATGTTAAATAACAAGAGAAAAGAGAGGAACATTTGAAATGTTTTTGTGTATTAACTGATGAATGTTGTACAATATATAAACAGACTAATGGGCTAAGCCCAAACCTAATGTAATCTGACCTAATACAAAATAAGGAAACCCTAATTACAATATATTTCTAACAGAGAAGATGTCAACTGTTCAATCAAAACCTGAAAAAAAAAATCAAGAAAAAAGAAATAATTAAAAAAGGATATTGCTTTTCATTTATTCTGTCACATTATGGGTCGTGAGTATCTAAAATAAAAAAGCCTGAATTTAATCGTAAATAAATTCTTGTATGAAATATGCTTGGGATGATATTAGTTTAAGAATTCAATTCATTTAGATGCCTCATTCATGCATATAACAACCAAAAGCACAAGCCATCCAAATGGTAGTAGTTCAAATATAAAGGTTTAAGCAAACGGTTCTGGATTGACCCCTTTTTCTATCTATTTATACATGGCATAGCTCATCAAAAGAATGATTTAATGAGTAGCAACATGCTATTTTTTATTTTTTGGGTGAAAAAAAAACTCATTTCAGCATTTTTACCAACAACTTTTGATCACATAAGGCCAACTTTTTATCACACCCAAGTCCATCATCCTCAATAATCAATAGTATAATACTTTCTCTTCCACATGAATATTAAAATTTTAAAAGGTTACTATCTTAAGCATTTGGATCGGATAACATTAAACTCAAAAGAGAAAAGAAGCTCATCACTTTGAGAAGAAGTCATTTGAATTGAAGTTTTCGTATCCCGATAAGCTTCTATGATATAATGTCGCTGATCCCTGACAACACTCCTGTAGTGATTACCTGGTTTAATAGTGAAGCAAAAGAAGGAAAAAAACATACATTAGATTAGCCACAATGAATGGGGAAAAGTTAATGAAATGAATTCAGATAAACCTACAATCAATCTATTACCTAAACCATTAAAGGTAGCTTTTTAGCAATAACAAAACAAAGAGTTAATGAAAATGTATGCAAAAAAGCAACAAGGAAAGCAAGCCATGTAAAGGGAAATTAAAAATGAGATAGAAGTAGAAATAAATGAAGAAGAGGGACCTTGGTTCTCAAAAATCATATTTCGAGTACATATCAAATGCTATATTAGATAATGAAGAAGAATATAAAAGACGAATTGAAGAAGATTTGTAGACAAAATAAATTTGTTGAAACAACAAATAAAAATATGCAGCATAACATATCCTATTTATACACGAACCAAATATATTTTTCCCATTGATTTTTCTTGTATTTAAACATATTTTTAATTTTATGCATTTTAATTGACCGAAATAATTAAGCCCAAATTACAAATTATTACAAATTACAAACAACCATAATAATACACTATCCAATAAATATTATTCATATACTCAATAATTATCATTTTTCATGTAAAAAGTAGTGGAATATTAATATAGCTGTCTCTCACTAAGCATTGTTGAACTTCCCCCCACTTATATCATGTTTAAAATTCGTATTTTAAGAAAGTAGTAAGATATTAATACAGATGTTTGTCACCAATTAATGCTGAACCTTTTTTCTACCTATATAAAATTTAAATTTTGAATTTAAAAAGTTATTAAAAGAGAAATTTTTTAAATGGTTTTAAGTATGAGCATAAAATGAATATTAAAGATAGAGTGACACGTTGACAAATTTTCCAATGTTACATGACAAATAAATAGTTGTTAGGTTAAGAAAAAGACAAATTATATAATATTAAAAAAGTGAGAAGATACATTATTCAATGAATTTATCTTATTTTTTCTTAATGTAACAATTATTTATGTATCATATAACATGACAAATACATTTTCATTGTTTTATATATTAATAGAAAAAGTAGGACTGACAACTTATTGATAACCTTCCACAAAAGGAAAGCCACGGGTTTGGAAAGAAAACTGCCAGTCATGTATTAGACCATTGGTATTCAGTTCACCATTTAATCTTCAATCCAGCTCAATAAATTATAACTTTGAGGTGATTATACTCTATCTTGTGCCTGATATGAGATATGGGATACAATACGACATTTTGAGATGTTAATTTTAAAAAATATTAAATTTTGACATGTTAGGACACATTTTAATATTATATAATATTTTTAATTTATGTAGTGTATATTATATTTAGTATTTAATAATTTAACAAAAAAATAAAGCTAAACTTATAATACCCATCAATTTTGCAAAGAAACATAATATATCTCAAATGTTTATATTAAACTCAATAAAATTGTAATCGTAATCTAACGAATCTAATAGTTGGAACACAAAATGCAACGCAACGTAACCTTTGAACTTTTTTTGAGTCTTTACAACGAGTATTGGAGTGTAGGGAAGTGTCGGACATAACGCGTCAGGATTTTTGAAGTGTCGGTGCTTCATAGATTATACTTACAAATATATTTATTTCATGAGATAATTATCTCGTACAACAGAGATAAGATAGTAAAATTCACAATTTTTTTTTTAAAAAAAGGTGAACCCAACTACTTTGTTTTTATTGCATGAAATAATAATCTCATACAACATGAGATAATTATTTCTCTATGCTTAATACCATTGTTGTAAAACCCGGCCTGACCCGGCCGGGTTGACCTGGGACCTGGTGAACCGGTCATCGGACCAGTTCGGGTCAAGCATTGGACCGGTCATGCATCGACCCAGTCAAACTCAGTCAAAACTCGGACAAAACCGGCCAAACCCAGTGACCCGACGACCCGTTCGGGTCATGCATTTTTTTTAAAAATGTTTTATCTTATAAAAAAATGTAAAACTCATTTTAAAAACTTTTTGTAATTTTATTTGCTAGTATACTCTTCTACAATGGCCTCTTAGTTTTCAATACTGAAACAATTCGTGGAATTTTAAATTAGAGAAGGTGACATGTCATTTTAATGTAGTTGAATTTGAAAAATATGAGTTCAATATCATTGGGAGGTATGTTTATCGGGATTCTGAGTTGCAATTTAAATTGACATAGTAACAGCATGCATTTTTATTTATTTATGCTTCATGTTTTTGAGTTTATTTAGTGAACCTTGTTTAATTCATTTTAGATATAGAGAATATAATTGAATTTATATATGTTCATATATATATATATATATATATATATATATATATATATATATATATTTTATATATCTATATATATATCCGGATCAACCGGTCCGACCAGTGACCCAATGACCCAGTATCTCGACCAGGTCGATGTCCGGGTCGGGTTTAACAACACTGCTTATACTAAAAAGTTTCATAATTTTTATTATTAAATTAATCACCATTAATTTTTATTAATTTAATGATTATAATTTATTAAGAATTAATAATTAATTAATAAATATATATAATAAAAAATTATAACCGTTAGATCGACATAAATTAACGGTAATTAATTTAGTAATAAAAATTATAAAACTTTTCAATAATAAATATAACCTCTCTCTTGTACTTGATTTAAATTTATGTATTTTGACAAATTCTTATGAATAAAAATATTGATTACAAAATAATGAATTATATATTTTGGAACCAAACCGGATGTTGGAAAAATGAAAAGAGAGAGGGGACCCTCAAAAGAAGGGAGATTGGAAATAAGGGAAGCAGTAATCGGTGGCGTTGTGAGAGATAGGCATGGCGACCTGGCTTCGCCTTCGGAGATGTATTGCTCTCGACTCACGCTCTCTCTTCTCCGTTAGATGCTCTTCCTCTTCTTCCGGTAAGTCCAAGGCGGAGAAGAAGCTCGTCGATCGTATTTCCGCCGTCATCGACGCCGTCAACGATCGCAAACTTCCTCCTGAGCTACGTGGCCAGCGCAACAACGTCAGGTAATTCATTTATGTACCCATTGCTTCATTAGTTTTTTGGTATCGCTTGCTGTTCTGAAGTGGTAAAATGCATTTCTGTCCTCTCCTTTTTCTCCGATGTTGTGTGTCTGTCTTTGTGTGTGTGTGTGTGTGAGAGAGAGATTATTCTATGCAATCAGTCCCGAACCTTGGTGTTAAAATTAGTTATTTCAGATTAGGAATATTTAATGTCATATGAAAAACATAAGAAAAACGTTACCCTAGGAATATTTAATGTCATATGTCAATAAATTCTTATCTCCTGATATCTTGTAATTACAACATACCAATTTATATGAATGCAACAACAATAATAACTCTGCCTTATATCTACATGATTATGTCATGCAACATACCAATTTTTTTGTCTATCTATCTATCTCATCATTAGGGGTGTCAACGGATCGAGCCGAGCCGAGTTTTGGTCTTAAGAGGCTAAGCCTGTGTTTAAATGTGTCACTAAGCCTATTACCTGTTATGAATATAATTATCGGCATGTGACCTGACTTATTTACGAAAAATAAAAGTCTGGTTTAGTCTGTTAAAAAAAATAAGACAACAAAAATTTACCCAAACAGAATATACAATCAACAACACTAGTAATTCCATAAATATTCATATCTTCAATGTATATCCAAACAGCATAGAACAAAATCATTCAAAAAGTATGTTTAAGCAATAAAATGGGACGAAATGGATAGATGAGAGAGAGAGCTATTACAAGCAGTATAAAATATATAAAATAAAAATAAAAATTAATATAGTAGGCCAGCCTGAAAGGCTCTAAGATCGAGCTTTTAATTGGAGCCTGAAGCCTTTTTATTAAACGAGCTTTTATACAAGTCCAAGCCTTGTTCCAACAACCAATTCTAGACATGTAAGCCCAGACCTTTACGAGCCGAACCAAAGGCCCCTAGTTCGTTTAGCACCCCTACTCATCATAAATATTTACTAACTTTGATAGGGCTTCACCTATTTGATGTTGTTACTAAGATCCATACTTCATTAATTAAAATGGCTACTTAACCCTTACTGCATAAAATGCTCATCGTTCAATCCCTTAAATTCCTTGCCCCATCACCAAATACAACATGGCAATACCAACCAAATACAACCACGTTATGGTCGGGCTTGCCGGATTCATCATGCTTACCAACCCCTATATTATGTACCTCACTCAAAAGAGTTGAACTCTAAGAAACGAGATCATATTCTGAAAAAGCTCACTCATTGCACTCTCCCTCATAGAGAATACACCTTTAATACAAATGCTTATCCCCGACAGCGGTACTGGTTCTTCATACCATACCAGGATCCTTAAGCTGATACATAGAGCAATAGCCAACCTCCTTATTGATTGTACATCTGAACTGACCTTTACACCTTAGAACAGATGTCTATTTTCCATTCCCCTCTTGGTGACGTTGGCTATATTTTTATTGCACATGTATCTCTTTATGCAATTCCTTAGATTCAAGTTGATAGTGAATATGAAATTCTAAATATAAAACAAAAAGTAAGAAGTTAAAACTTATTTTTTTATGCATATGTAGCAAATAGATTTAAGCCAAGTGAACTCTACAGTTCACCTAATGCACCAGTAGTGTGCCCTATTGGCATATGTTTATCGATTGTTTTCACATCTTCCAACGTAAACACCTTTTGACAAGCATTTGCCGCAATAGGACGTGTGGTATGGAAATTTACCAAGTGAAAACTTTCAAATTCAGAGAAAGTTATATCTTTCTAATCTAAATTTTTCTATTCTAAATAGAATATTGGTCGAGAAAGTTGCCAACAGGACAGGGTATCAGTGCACTAGAGGCACAGTTGATATAAAAAAATCATTCCCCGTTAAACTCGACTAATGAGTGTGGGGTGGAGGAAATCCTTGTCCGCAGCTTTTACCCTTGCATAATTGCAAAGAGGCTGTTTCCTGGATTTGAACCTATGACCTTTCAGTCATGAAGGAACAGTTTTACCACTGCTCTGGTTCGAGAGGCACAGTTGATATAGTACAGTAAAATTGGCCTTGAATCCAATACTTTTGATGACTTTGTGTTGGCTTTCTCTTCATCTGGTGTTTAACCTAAATTTGCTGTTGGATAGGTCAGAAACTGATATGATCAATGTTGTTGAGCAAAGAATATGGCATTCCATGGAGGAAGGCCATTTTGAGAACTTGCCTGGAAAAGGCAAGCCGCTTAAGCTTGATACAAATCCTCATGCGGATCCAGCTGAAGACACCTTATACAGAATCCTGTCAAAAAATGGATGTGCACCGGAATGGGTTGAGCTTAACAAAGAGATAAGATCTAAAATATCTGAATGGAGGATATCCTTGAAGAAAGCCTGGGCAAATAAATGCAGTGGAGATCAGTCCGGGTGGGTTGAAAATTCAGAGGCTTTGAAATTGCAGTTACAAGAAATCAACAATAAGGTGAGCTAGGTCATTTCACCAATTTTTGCTCGTGTTATAATCTTTAGAAGATGTCATATAGATATTCTAACAACTGGGAATTAAAGAATTGAATTCCTGGTCCTTTCAAATCTTGAATTCTTATTATTATTATTATTATTATTTGTGATGTACATATAAATCTACATTTTTTGGCAGGTTTTCCGGTATAACCTCATTGTGCCTTTTGGTAGGCAAATGATTGGCCTTAAGTGGGAGAAAGAGCTAGGTTATTTAGAAGAATAATGAAATTCATTGTCGTTATTTAAATTTGAGCCTGTAGGTATACTATTGCAGAAGATCAAAATCTGTTATTTTCTTGAAGGGGGTGGTCATGTCGGGTGATTAATCAACTGGCTTAAGTCGTTTAATTCAATCGTTGTTGGTTACTTTTATTTCCTAGACTTAGGCTAGCGAATGTCATTGTTGCTGGTTATGATACCTCTTTCAGGTTTAGTATGGCTGTATTTATATGGTTTATTACCTCCGATCAGTGTTCTTACTTCCTGCCTTTTCAATGTACAAACCTCGGGGAACAGAATAAAATAAATAGGGAAAATGTATGAGAACACAACAAGTTTTGCACTGCTTGTCATGAAAATTGTACTATACTGTCCATGCCTTGTGTTGATTGAAATGCTATATTTACAGAAGGCAATTGTAATTCAAGTTCAGTGAACAGTATTTGTTGTAACTACTGGATGACTGGGTTGAGAATGAGTGAGAGCTCTTTCAATGGCGGTCCGATTCTGTAGAATCAATTGGCCATTGATATCCAGGCATGCTCATAGAAATTCATAGCATTAACTGTATAAGGATTCAAACATTGTTTAGCATTTTTTTTTCTTTTGAAAAAGTTGCATTTTAATGTGTTTCTAATATTGTCCCTTCAAGTATGCCGGTGTTTAAAGTGAATCAAGTTTAAACTATGCAAAAATTGTTAGAAGAAGTGTAAAAAAGTAGGGGTGTTCGCAGTCTGGATTGAATCGGTTTTTGAAGCAAAAATCATCCTATCCAATCCCTTCGGCTTGATCATATAATCATCCATTTGGTTTAAATTTTTTTTCAAATCCGATCCGACCCAATTTTTTTCGGTTTGGATTGGATCGGTTTTCGATTTTTTAAAAATCCTAAAATTTATTTCATGATTATTGTGCAATATATATTGTCTTTGTAAATTATTATTTTTTGAAATACAAAAACATTAGTAAACTATAATATAGTTTTTTTTTTGGACAATGAGATATGAAGCTCTACAAAGATAAAATTTTGTTTATGAGATGTGATTAGATTTTTTCTTAGGTTTTTTTTTTTTTTTGATAATGGGTTAATGAGTCTTTGATTTAGAAATTTTTAGGTTACGATTAAGGAAAGATCCAAGTAGGTAGAGGGGAATTAATATATTGGATCGGTTTTCATCAACCCATTCAAAAATCGATCCAATCCAATTAAAATTTGCGATTTTTTTTCTGTTTTCGATTTTTCGATTTTTGGTTTATTCGATTTTTGATTTTTCGGTTCGGTTATCGCGGTTTGAATCAGTTTAGATCGGTTAATGAACACCTCTATAAAAAAAACAAAGGAGATATTTTTCACTTTAGGCCGAGGTGGTAACTTTTAAATTCAAACAATAGATTTTAAATTACAAAACTTGTAACTCCACAATAAAAACACTTAACACTACAATAAACTCACATAACTTCGTAAACTTAAAAACATAAAACTGAATATTTAAACCAAAAAAAACAACTGAATTAAACCCATTAAAAATAAAATTGACACATAACTCCACATTTAACGTTATTCAACAAAAATATTGTAGCAGAATAAGGGTTATTTCCACAAAAGATGGATGTTAAATCCGATAGACTAGCATGCCAAGATTAATTTGGGGTTTTGTAGATAAGAAAAGAAAAGAAAAGAAAATAAAAAACAACTAAATTATATATAGAGATAAGATTCATAATAAAGACAAGGGATTAATTTTATCGCTAGACTTGGACAGTTTGAGATATACTACTTTTGTTTGATTTCAATACTTTTTTTCTTGAATCTTACTTAAACATAACAACCATGCAGATAGCCAAAGTGCCTGTAAACAACTGTTGTTAGGCATGAAAACTATACAATACCTAATTCCTGTCCATTATAAAATCCTGCTCTTCACGCGTGATTAAATTCAAAGGAAGTGTTAAAGATGAGAAAGATATAAGTTACTCTAAACAACAATTTTCACTAATCACTTGTAAGATGAGAAAGTTATGCCAATGACAAGAAATAATAGTAAATATCTTGGACCGAGACAAGAATGAATACAAAATCAAATACACGCTCGCAAACAATAAGTTACATTCTTAATTTTCACATTCCTTATGTGGTGCTTATATATTTTGATGTTTTAGCTGCAATTTGTATAAGTTTTCATGTGGTCTTGTATTTCTGCAAAAATGTTCCAAGGTCGTTCTCTATTTTAAGGGCTTGCTGGTGCAAATTTTCTGATTCCTCTTCTGTCTCATTCATAGCCTCTGCAAAATCATTGTAAAAGATTACCACATTAATGAACCCCAACTATATCGATGGAACCACTGGTGCAGTTATGCATAGGTGTGACCTTATGAAATGCATAATTAAAAACCGTTCCGATTATTTGAACACATAGATTGCAGCATCAATTTCCTCCTTCTCAATCATTCAAAGCCACATGGAAGCCATGACTCTCCCAATTTCTAACTGGAGTTAATAGGAAAAACTTCAAAGGAAAAAGGAAAATTCAACAATAGATTGAAATATTTAGTCCATATCCACATTTATGTTATAGCCAATTAGCCACTATATACATGTTTTCATGAACTATAAACACACTGCTCAGGAACAGAACAGACATAGATGAAAGAATAATTGCCCATAGCACTGGCAGGTCTGGTGACAACCTCATGATACTAGACTACAATTATAATTCAACAAACTTATGACAAACTTAAACCCATACCTGTGTTGACTTAATTCCACTATAAAATGAGGAATAAATCTTAGGTGCATCTGTTGTACCTAAATTCAGTGCATCCCATCAATAGAAATATTACACATCAGAGGAGAGAGAAAGAATTTTGACATAGAAAAAAGAATTTTGGCTAATTCATAACATTAGACTAATCAGGGACTGCTGAATGAAACTGCCAAAACCACTTAGAAAAATACTATTCAATAGAAGCTACTCGAGAGTAACAAAAATACCATGACTTTAAAAATAGGAAAACAGAAAGAATGAACTTTGACTTAGATATAGATGAAAGAAAAGATATTAACAAGTAATTAATTTTTTAATTTTTTTTTTAAAGTTTTTTAAAATTCAAGAATGGTTTAGGTGAGTGCATAGGAAGCTTGGCTGGAGAAGAAAGTTGCCAGCAAGGACTAGGAGGCTAGGAGCACTAAGAAGGTGAAAATAAGAGAAGAGAACAAGGTGATCTTGTTTGTTTATTGTTCTGAAAAGTTATGTTTTGTATATACAGAATAGAATCTACATTCTGGCTTTAGGATTTTTTTTTAGTGAGTGGAGTTTTACTGATTTTGATTAAAATCAAATGAAATTGAAGATGCATATTGCTTCAGGTTATGTGAGGAGTGGTGTAGAGTTTCCTTTGACACTTTGTGTTATATTCCAGTTCCAAAATGCATCATTATAAGCATTGCATAATTCCATAATGCACCAATTTTATTGAGTCTTAATTTTGTTAGCGAATATTTTTCCAAATATGTTTATCAATAGAGTTTAGTTGCCTAGTTTCCAAAAATATGCAAATTACTTTATGTGAACGTCTGAAAAAGATTCAAAAATTATAGATTGAAAGTAGTCTTCAAGAAATTTGTTTTTTAATATAAAGTGTAAACACAAAAGGTGTTATAATTTGGTTTGACAAAATTATGATTGGAGGTATATATTCGATCCTATTTACAGCTGTTGTATAGTTTTCTCACATAATCGTACTAGTTACATGTATGTCAGAATTTAAAATAATACTATAGCTAAGATAGAAATCAAAGTAATTATTTTAGGGATATATAATAAGTTTTCGCCATTGGTTTTTTTGCGGCTTATAAATATGTTAGGGATAATTAATATGACAGGGTGTTCTTGATCTTTGGCTTCAAAACTGAGATTTGTGGCAGCATATGATGCGCCTACAATTGCATGTGTCCTCCCACCATTTAAATTAATTAAGCTAATTAAAGCTTGAAAAACAAGGAAATTGCAAGACGATAATGAGGGCCAACAGCATAAAGAGGATGAATGCATATCATTATCAATCGGTATTCTTCCTTTTCCACTACATTCCCATGCATGTTGCCAACTTGTCATGCCATTGCCAGCCTTGCTTGCTCACTACATAAAGCTTTCAGTTCCCTAATTAGCTACTCTATTGGTTCTTTATTTTTCTTGTTTTATGAATTAGTGAATAATATATTGATTAACTAGACAATAAAACTAAACCATTAATAATGAGTTAATGATCCATAATTTTTTTTCTAAAAAATATGGATTCAAATTTTCTTTTTGTTAGACTGTCATTGATAGGTCATTTATTTGAATATCAGAAATCTTAAATTATAGAGGTGACAAAATGGATTCGACATAACTCATCATGTATGATAAGTTGGGTTGGATCTATATGAACCCGTATCGATAGTCTTGCATAAAAACTGGCCAGGTTGATTTAGTTAATTTGTTTTAAATTATTAATCAATGATCTTTTACACCTCTTTGATTTTTATTTGATATCCTTTATCTTTATGGGGAATGTAATTTTTGAAAAAAAATTCAGATTTTTAATATGTTGGCGGGATGGGATAAATTGACTTATTTTGAGATGGATTAATGACGGGAGTTGTCTATTTTCCCTCCTTTTTTTATTCATTCCTGAAGATTTGTAACATATATATATTCTTGAGTTTAAAAGTCAATTTCTCATTTATGTAAATTTGTATATATTTACGACAGCAACTTTTGTAACATGATTGGAAATAAAAAACTAGATAGTTAAACTTCAATCTCTGTATAGTAACTTTGTGAATTGTCACTACCAGGTATCACTTCTTTTCATTCATCTTTTTTTTTTTTTTTTTTTTGTAAACTTTTCATTCATCTTTAGCAAGATGTATGCATGGACGAATAAATATTATAATGTATAATCACCAAAAGGAAAAATAATTGATGTGTAATGAGGGATTCATTACAATACTCTATCAAAATAATGTAACAGTCAAAAGTTCATAACAATTTTTTTTTTAAGTGTATACACTATAATTGAATTTTGATCAGTCAAACAGGAAAGAAATAAAGCAAATTGACAACATATATATATATATATATATATATATATATATATATATATATATATTTGATTTCTGTAGATTTAAAGATTTAGAAGTTTATTTTATTTATATTTGGAGACTACAAGCTTTAATATAATTTTATTATAAATGGTAGGATGCATAAATTGAGGTTTGTGTTGGTTTAATTATGTATAAAGTATCACAAATAAAAAATATTACGATCTATAAATATAAAGTTTTTTCATAAGACTATAATTTTCGCTCGAAAGATTGAGATTTTTTTCCAGGTACCTTTTAGCAAATTCAAAATCCTGATATGTAGGGCCTTTAACAAATGAAACTTAAACTTGATTATTACTTGTACCACCCATTATAGGTTGACATCTTCCAAAAATTAATTAGAAAATCTATTAAAAAAAAACTCTATTTCGAGTATTATACTAACTTCTCTCTTTACTTTAAATTTCATATTAAATTTTTTCCGTATATTTAATT